TCCGTCCCAGTCGTCTCTTTAGTCCGGTTGCCTTTCGACTCGTCCTCAGGTCCGGCACTTCGTCCAGAGGCTTCCATGCGATTTGACGGTTCAGTATTCCCGGTGCTCGCAGCAGGTTCATCCTTGACCTTCGTATGCGGCTCTTCAACGCTTGGCTTATGCTCTCCTGGTTTCTCGTCGTGTGCAACAAGCTGGCTTCCATCAGGACACATCTCCGTCGACCGCTGGTCTGCATCGCTCCCTTCAACAGGGCTAGTTTGAGTTTCTGCCTCGTCACTCGACCTCGATATCACAGGTAGAAGCGCTTCATCGGCTGACCTCTTGCAGCTCAAGGTTTGCTGTTGAGTACTGCACATTCCCTCCAACCTGATGGCAGAAATCATGGATACAACGAGAACAAGAAACTTGGCTGCAGTCAGAATGTGGCATGAAGAGTATGGAGCGGCGATAAACGAGCAGCTCAACGCTGTAGCTCCCTTACCTGAATCCCAAACTGTCTCCAGTTTCCTATCTCACGCATACTGGTGCAATTTGGCAGGTGATGGCCATGTCAAGGGTGCATTCGCACCCAATGACAGTTGTGAGTTCAATGAAAGTAGAGGACTCTGGTTCTAAGCAGCGGCGGTGGATGTTGACTGGGACAGCAGGAGAATTTTGTTCAGACTCCCTATCCACCAGAGGCCGCTGAGGTCGATGCTAACTGTGAGGAGTTGAAGATGGTCAGTGTGTATTGGAAGCGCAAAAGCGCAATGAACTGCTCGCTGAGCGGAGGGAATGTAACCTCGGACAAACTGACTCTCAGAACAAACCGTCGAGTCAGATACTATCGAGGCTGGAGGAAAGCCTCTGATAGAAACCAGCGTGAGTAGCTGTCGCTGGCTAGGTGGGGAATGCTAGACGTAAGGAAAGGCACTGGTGCTCCAGGTCCCGAACCGCAGTTATTCGAGAGCCATGGAGCCCAGGCTGGGAGCAGAGGACAAGAGCCAGGCTCAGGAGAAGGGAGCCTGCCTGACCCTGGGGCCTGGCAGAGGCTGGCCTGGCTAGCTCAGGGAATCACGAGAGAGCTAGGCCCAGCAACACCAGCAGAACCCAGTGAGCAGCACGTGAGCGGGCAGGCAGCACCAGGGAGAGGGGGGAAAGGGGCAATGTGTCTGTCTTGGGAATTGGGGGGGGCTGGTGCGTGGCTCCCTGGTCTGTGGCTGGGCTCTCTCGAGAATTGCTGTGCTAGCTGGCTGGGTAGGGGGGCTCGAAGCGGGAATTGCAAATGGAAAGTGTTTTGGCGAAACTACCCCATGCTGAAGCTCGTATCCCAAAGCGCAATCTTGGAAATATCCCGCGTGGCAGTACGTCATTCGACAACGAATTACACTCTGGTCGTGGAGAGGCACGTAGAGTGAAATGCCTATCCAAATCAACTCCAGTCTGTGGGAATCCGACGGACGAACTGTTCATCTTATCTGATAAAGTGGCTCCCGTTTGACTTACTCGTACCTCTCATGATCGGACATGATATTTTGAGATCGTCAACACATTTACGAAACATTTCATATATACAAGACCACAATTCCTCCCCCATTTTACAATATGTTACAAATGTTCACAAGCTAAATAACATCACTTCACATTAATCGTAGATGTCTTGAATCGCGATTGTACTCTGCTGCCTGCATATTTGAAATTATAAGAGTTGGTCATTAGTCATCAGCATTGACCGTACAATCCTTTCAACCCATCTCATTCTCACCTTTCATTCTTTGAAATGCGGTAGTAGTGGTCTGCATGCTCCTTTCGCCCAATCATTTCCGCAAAAGTCTCATCATGAGTGATGACAATCAACTGAAAGTTCTCCTGGCTTCTTCTTTCCTCCATTAGTCTGCACATAAGCACAAACAAGGAAAGAGCATCAACAAAACAAGCCGAGTCGAATAGAGCAACCAAAAACGAGCTGAGCGCAACCAAGAGGCAGCGAGTCAGTGAGCCGACCTGTTCAAGGCCCTTGCAAGGCTCTCAGCATTGGGAGCATCAAGGTTGGTGGTCGGTTCATCCAAAGCAAGGATGCCGCAGTTGAGGCAAAAGGTCTCGGCCAGAGCAAGGCGGATGATGAGAGATGCCAGCACCTGAGAGCCATAGAAAGGACAAACCACAGAATGAACGCACATGAGGAAGGGTGAACGAACATGAGGGACAGCAGGCAACATGAGGATATAATTGGTTGGTGGATGTAGAGGCACAAAAAATCACAAGCTTGGAGGAAAGGGTGACAACAGCAATGGAGACACTCTTCCGAGAAAATTCACGAGTACACTACCTTTTGGCCAGCACTGCATCGTCCACGCATGTCCAGCTCAGCATCACCACTGCGCATCACCACCTGCCAGGCACCACCACACACACACACGCACGTTACCCCCAAACTTCCCCACCCACCCCCATTCCCCCACACACGGACACAATAGACAGCATCTATTGAGTTCAATAGAACATCAGCATGAACATACCAAGAGCTGCACATGCAGCCTTTCATACATAACGCTGCAGAACACGCTGTTGGTGGCACACTTCTGAGGAGCCTCAAAGTGCATGCTGTGGGCGGCACACACCCTGTAGCGAACAAGCTATGCCTACCCCGCATCCCGCAAGAATAGGTCATGAACTTCCTTACCCTGTAGGAGTACGAGCGTGTCCCGGCTCCTTCCGCATCGGAGCGAATCTCAACGTAGTCAATGTCCTGGCCTCGGTACGTCTGCTGCCACAGCTCCTTGATGATCTTGTTGATCTCCTCCATCTTCATCGCATGGAACCGCATTAAAGCCCTGCAAATGTCACAAGGCGGAGAGACATTCAGACAGACATAAGAAACCACACCTCCATTGGATCCTTAATGCCCTGAAAGATTCCACTCCTTGGAAACTTTTGCCACAATGCGATACTTCCCTGCAAGATTCAGTGTTCGCTTGCCCCCATTTTGGATCACAGTGTTCTCATTCGTCACGTAAAAGCATAAGCAGACCATGCATGGCAGATGATTCAGAATAGATGCATAATGGGTATGCCTATGCCACTGGTGTAAGAAAGAAGATGCCCAAAAGGGCCGAGTTGGCCTTTGAGTCGACCAAAACATGGAAAACTTCAAGACAAAGGCTCGCTACTTACTTGTCCAGTGCATTATAGTATTTATCAATGTCCCGGTTTGCCATCTCTGAGGTCTGCAAAAGTGCAGGACACGATTAGACAGCAGCAAGCAGGGGAGAGGCAGGGAGAAATTATGTATTCAAGAAAGAGATATTGGCAAACGGGTGAATAGGGAGGGCAATGAGAGGGACGAACGAGTCAGAAGTCACTTTGTGCCAACCCAAAGCTTAAACTCCCAGCTTCAGCTGGATGAGGTGCTTCCAGTGCCTGTTCTCAACAGCACTCGGCAGTGTCTGTTCCCGACGGCTCTCAACTGCACCTCTAGACTGTCACAACCTCAGCTGGGCTTGAGAGCATCATTCGTGATTCGTTAGCCACATGCTTCCTGTGCCTGTACTCAACGCCTTTGAACCAAAAATCTACATCCTGAGGAAACTACAAAGCTCGAGGAGCCTACAACTCTGCTGGAAGGCGACTCTGCTAGAACTTGGGGTTGTCATAAAACTGCACCTACAGCTGAATGAGCTCCTTCCGGTGTCTGTTCTCAATGGATTGAACTGTGGACCTTTCAGCTCTGCTTGGGAACAACAATTCTCTTCATGAATATTCTATCAAGTGTCGCACCTTGAGCTGCACGAAACTGCTTCCTGTGCCTGTCCTCAGTGTACCTGAACTGTGGCGCCTTGAGCAATGCTTGGGAAAAAAGTTTGTGTTTTTACGTGTACAGACTTTCTCACCTTGAGCTGGATGAGTTGCTTCTTGTGCCGGCTAACAATGTCTCTGAACTGGGGCGCCCTCAGCTCTGCCTCTGCGCGTCGGATGCTCGCCTCATGCGCTGCCACCTTGCCCCGGCTGTGGTTTTGCTGCAAGGAGGAAAGACGTGGTCGAGGCGAGAAAGGTGTGAGGAGCGGTGAGGAATGGTGCAAGTAAGGGGATTGAGATGAATGAGGCTTGAGTGCGTCAAATGCTCGCCTCATGCGCTGCCACCTTGCCCCGGCTGTGGTTTTGCTGCGAGGAGAAGAGACGCGGAGGAGAAAAGTTTGAGAGCGGTGCGAAGTGGTGCGAGTGAGGGAAGTGTGGTGCGAGAGATGAGTGAGGTGAGAAGTGGTGAGAAGCGATGAAAGTGAGGTGAATGAGGGGAGCAATCAAGGTTGACAGCTGCTCACCTCGGCAGCAAGCCCATCAATCTCCTCCCTCACGGCCCTCACCCCCTCCTCCAACTCCCCCACCCTCCCCACGCGCCCCATCTCCTCCCTCAGCCTCTCCACCTCTCTCCTCACGCCCTCCTCCTCCCTCTCCATGCCCCGGAACACCAGAATCGCCTCCACATTCCGCTTCACAGCGTCCTGGCTGCGAAGCATCTCCCTCTCCTCCGCCTCCGTCCCGCTCAGCTGCTGAATCTGCTGCTCGTTGCTCGCCTGCCGCGCCTGCGAATGCTGCAGCCGTTTGGATGCTTCTGCTAGCCGCTGCTCCTTTTTTGAGGCGATGTAGCTGGTGGGGTGAGGAGAGGGGTGAGGAGAGAAAGGGGACCTTTAAAGACTGACTCTCCATGCCCCGGAACACCAGAATCGCCTCCACATTGCGCTTCACAGCATCCTGGCTGCGCAGCATCTCCCTCTCCTCCACCTCTGTCCTGCTCAGCTGCTCTATCTGCTGCTCGTTGCTCGCCTGCCGTGCCTGCGACTGCTGCAACAGCTTCGATGCTTCCGCCAGCCCTGCTCCTTGTTTGAGGCAATGTAGCTGGTGGGATGGGGAGGAGGAGAAGGGAGATGGGATCAAGAGACAATTTTGAATGCTCTCAAGAGGGATTCGAATGCTGTTGCAGCCGCTTTGATGCTTCCGTCAGCCGCTGCACCTTGTTCGAGGAAATGAAGCTGGTGAGGAGGGGAGAGGAGAGGAGAAGGGACAGAGCGGAGGAAAGAAGGGGGGGCAGGGGAGGGAGAAGAGGGGAACATTGAAAAGTTTCAAGAGTGGGGGTCCGGTTGGGGGTCACCTGCCTCCTAGTGGAGTGGCGCCCCCTAGGGGAAGGCGCCTGCCCCCTACAGGAGTGGCACCTATTCGAGGAGTGGCGCCGATTCGAGGAGTGGCGCCTATTAGAGGAGTGGCGACTATTAGAGGAGTGGCGCCTATTAGAGGAGTGGCGCCTATTAGAGGAGTGGCGCCTATTAGAGGAGTGGCGCCTATTAGAGGAGTGGCGCCTATTAGAGGAGTGGCGCCTATTGGAGGAGTGGCGCCTATTAGAGGAGTGGCGCCTATTAGAGGAGTGGCGCCTATTAGAGGAGTGGCGCCTATTAGAGGAGTGGCGCCTATTAGAGGAGTGGCGCCTATTGGAGGAGTGGCGCCTATTAGAGGAGTGGCGCCTATTAGAGGAGTGGCGCCTATTAGAGGAGTGGCGCCTATTAGAGGAGTGGCGCCTACTAGAGGAGTGGCGCCTACTAGAGAAGTGGCGCCTATTAAAGGAGTGGCGCCTATTAGAGGAGTGGCGCCTATTAGAGGAGTGGCGCCTATTAGAGGAGTGGCGCCTATTAGAGGAGTGGCGCCTGTTGGAGGAGTGGCGCCTAATAGATGAGTGGCGCCTATTAGAGGAGTGGCGCCTATTAGAGGAGTGGCGCCTATTAAAGGAGTGGCGCCTATTGGAGGAGTGGCGCCTATTGGAGGAGTGGCGCCTATTAGAGGAGTGGCGCCTATTAGAGGAGTGGCGCCTATTGGAGGAGTGGCGCCTATTGGAGGAGTGGCGCCTATTGGAGGAGTGGCGCCTATTAGAGGAGTGGCGCCTATTAGAGGAATGGCGCCTATTAGAGGAGTGGCGCCTATTAGAGGAGTGGCGCCTATTAGAGGAGTGGCGCCTATTAGAGGAGTGGCGCCTATTAGAGGAGTGGCGCCTATTGGAGGAGTGGCGCCTATTAGAGGAGTGGCGCCTATTAGAGGAGTGGCGCCTATTAGAGGAGTGGCGCCTATTAGAGGAGTGGCGCCTATTAGAGGAGTGGCGCCTATTAGAGGAGTGGCGCCTATTAGAGGAGTGGCGCCTATTAGAGGAGTGGCGCCTATTAGAGGAGTGGCGCCTATTGGAGGAGTGGCGCCTATTAGAGGAGTGGCGCCTATTAGAGGAGTGGCGCCTATTATAGGAGTGGCGCCTATTAGAGGAGTGGCGCCTACTAGAGGAGTGGCGCCTACTAGAGAAGTGGCGCCTATTAAAGGAGTGGCGCCTATGAGAGGAGTGGCGTTTATTAGAGGAGTGGTGCCTATTAGAGGAGTGGCGCCTATTAGAGGAGTGGCGCCTATTAGAGGAGTGGCGCCTATTAGAGGAGTGGCGCCTATTAGAGGAGTGGCGCCTATTAGAGGAGTGGCGCCTATTAGAGGAGTGGCGCCTATTGGAGGAGTGGCGCCTATTGGAGGAGTGGCGCCTATTAGAGGAGTGGCGCCTATTAGAGGAGTGGCGCCTATTAGAGGAGTGGCGCCTATTAGAGGAGTGGCGCCTATTAGAGGAGTGGCGCCTATTATAGGAGTGGCGCCTATTAGAGGAGTGGCGCCTATTAGAGGAGTGGCGCCTATTAGAGGAGTGGCGCCTATTGGAGGAGTGGCGCCTATTAGAGGAGTGGCGCCTATTAGAGGAGTGGCGCCTATTAGAGGAGTGGCGCCTATTAGAGGAGTGGCGCCTATTAGAGGAGTGGCGCCTACTAGAGAAGTGGCGCCTATTAAAGGAGTGGCGCCTATTAGAGGAGTGGCGTTTATTAGAGGAGTGGCGCCTATTAGAGGAGTGGCGCCTGTTGGAGGAGTGGCGCCTATTAGAGGAGTGGCGCCTATTAGAGGAGTGGCGCCTATTAGAGGAGTGGCGCCTATTAGAGGAGTGGCGTTTATTAGAGGAGTGGCGCCTATTAGAGGAGTGGCGCCTGTTGGAGGAGTGGCGCCTATTAGAGGAGTGGCGCCTATTGGAGGAGTGGCGCCTATTAGAGGAGTGGCGCCTATTAGAGGAGTGGCGCCTCCTAGGGGAAGGCGGAGGGCGGAGGGCGGAGGGAGGAGGGCGGATGGCGGAGGGCGGAGAGGGCGGAAGGCGGAGAGAGGACGGAGGAGGGCGGAGGGCGGAGGGCGGAGATAAGAGGGGGCGGAGGGCGGAGGGTGGAGGGCGGAGAGGGCGGAGGGCGGAGGGAGGAGGGAGGAGGGTGGAGGGCGGACGGCGGAGGGAGGAGGGCGGAGGGTGGAGGGCGGAGGGCGGATGGCGGAGGGCGGAGAGGGCGGAAGGCGGAGGGAGGACGGAGGAGGGCGGAGGGCGGAGGGCGGAGGTAAGAGGGGGCGGAGGGCGGAGGGTGGAGGGCGGAGGGTGGAGAGGGCGGAGGGCGGAGGGAGGAGGGAGGAGGGTGGAGGGCGGAGGGTGGAGGGCGGAGGGCGGATGGCGGAGGTCGGAGAGGGCGGAGAGGGCGGAGGGTGGAGGGAGGAGGGCGGAGGGCGGAGAGGGCGGAGGGTGGAGGGCGGAGGGCGGAGGGCGGAGGGTGGAGAGGGCGGAGGGCGGACGACGGAGGGCGGAGGGTGGAGAGGGCGGAAGGCGGACGACGGAGGGCGGAGGGTGGATTAGAAGAGAGGCGCCTCTTAGAGGAGAGGCGCCTGCCCCTTAGACGTTGCTCTTGAGGCGATGTAGTTGGTGGGGTGAGGAGAGAGGAGTTGAAAGAGGAGAAGGGATGGGAGGGGATGGGAGGGGATGAGAGGAAATGGGACGGGGGGGGGAGGGGATGGGAGGGGAAGGGAGGAGGGCGAGAATCTCCAAGAGTCCCAACAAGGAACCATCTTGTTCGAGGCAGCATAGCTGGTGGGATGAGGGGCGAGGAGAAATGAAACGGGCAACTCATTGATGTTGGCAAATATCCCTTTCGACCCATCCGGATCCCTCTCCATGCCCCTCACCCGCCCCTACATCTCCTCTTGAGACACATCAAAGATCTGCTCTTGTTCTGAGACGCCTCATCACTCACTCATTGATCTTCACGAATATTCCTCTCATTCCATCCAAAACTCTTCCACATGCCCCTCACCTGCCCCTGCATCTCCGCCTCCTTATGAGGCGCCTCAAAGGCTGTCCCCTGGTTTGAAATGCCTCAACACTCACTCATCGATCTTCTTGAATATCGCTCTCGTCCCGTCCAGGTCTCTCTCCATGCCCCTCACCCGCCCCTGCATCTCCGCCTCCTCCGCCCCTGCCTTCTCCCGCCATACCCTCCGCCCCTCCACTGCCTCCCCATGCTTCTTCCTCAGAGGCCCCATGCTCCGCTCCAGTGCCTGGTGATGGCAGGATTGGGGGAAGCCAGGTGAGTCATATACAGGAGAAGATTGGCAAGGGACTGCGACAGAGGAACTTCAATCAGCAAATGAATCGGCTAACAAGGCTCCCTCATTCTCCCACCACACCTTCCGCCCCTCCACCGCCGCCCCATGCTTGCTCCTCAGAAGCCCCGTGCTGCGCTTCCCCTTCCCAACCGAGTCATTAGACATCTCAAAGCACCTCCATCTCAAAGCACCGCTCACCTGTATTTCCAGCTTGCTCCCTTCAATCGCCACCTCCAGCTGCCCCACCTCCTCCTCCATCTCCCGCCGCCTTGCCACTCTCAGAGCCATCTGGGCCCTCTCCTCCCGCGCCCCCCGCCACCTGTTGCTGGCTGCTGCTGCCTCGTCCTTCAGTGCTGCATGCTCCTCCCTCAGCCTCTCCACGTCCCCTGCTGCTGCATCCCTGCAGCACGGTGCAACAAGAGCACAGGACAATTGAACAAAGGGGGCATAAATTTATTTTTTTTGGCGCCTCAAGAGTTTCCCCGCCACCTGTTGCCGGCCGCTGCTGCCTCATCCTTCAGTGCTGCATGCTCCTCCCTCAGCCTTTCCACATCCCCTGCTGCTGTATCTCTGCAGTACAGCACACCATAGGCACAGGACCGAGGGAGCATGACGAGGGGTAAGGGACGAAAAGAGACCCCTGAGCATGTAAATAAGAAGCGTTTGCACACAAGCTTTCCTCGTCCATATGCCCGTTCCCTTCATCCACCCCCCGTTTCCCCTCTCTCACCTCCTCTCCCCTGCAGCGAAAGCAGCCAGCTCACCTCTTCTCCTCCACAGCAGCCAGATCAGCATTGGCATCAGCCAGCGAGCGCATGGCCTGGGAGAGCGTGTCCGACAATGCTCCAGCTCCTGCACCTCCGCTTCCCCCCACTCTCCCCCTCCTTCCTCACTCTGTCGCACCTCCCTCTCCTCACCTCTTCTCTTCAACAGCAGCCAGATCAGCATTCACATCTGCCAATGAGCGCATGGCCTGGGAGAGCGTGTCCAGGCGGTACTCCAGCTCCTGCACCTCCTCACCTCCTGCCTCACCCTCCGTGCCTAAACCCAGAACCCTGCAGCAGCAGCAGCAGCAGCAGCAGCAGCCTCACCTCTTCTCTTCGACAGCAGCCAGGTCAGCATTGACATCAGCCAGAGAGCGCATGGCCTGGGAGAGCGTGTCAAGGCGGTATTCCAGCTCCTGCACCTCTGCTTCCCCGTTCTCCGCCTCCTTCCTCACCCTCTCCGCGTCCTTTACCACCCCCTCCACCCGCCCCGCTGCGTCTAGCTTTGCCTTGGCCTCTGCCAGCATGCATAGCAGCTAAAAAGTGTAAGAGTGAGTGGGGTGGGAGGAAGAAGGGGCAGGGGGTTGAAGAGGGTGGGAAAGAGAGTGAGAAGCTTGCTGTTAAATCGACCAGGTGTGGCACCAGAGAAGAAAAGATTCAAGACAATGTTAAGGAGACTTCGAGGCATGATGACGACAGGAACACATGGCTGTGATAAAGGCAGGCACACATGGGTGTATCATAGGGACGGAACACACGCAGAATGAAACACAATGAGACGGCGCAATGTTACTCACAGTCTCATGGTTCTCCTGGGCTTTGCTCTGGGCTTCCTCCACGTGGCCCACTACCACCCTGGCACGTGGCACCAGCTCATCCACCAGCTTCCTGTACTCGTTATAAACAGGATGCAGATCATCCAGAATCCCCAGCTTCTGCGCAAGTCCCTCCCGCTCCCGCTTCAACTCAGCCTCCTTGTTCCCAGCGTTCCTGTTCTTGTTCTTTATTTTCTCCACAAATTGTTCCTCCTCTTTCTGGGAGAAGCATCTTTCACAAGTTGGGCAGCAGTGCCTACGCCGAGCCACTTGCTCGAATTGTGCCACAAACTTCTTCATTTCCACAAATGTCTCGTACGCCCTGCAAACAAGAGAAGCAAGTTTTGCGGAGACAAAATATCTCATGGAGCATGGGAGAGAGTGGCGCATTGCGAGCTTGCTCTAAGCATCCAGCAAGCACACAACCTCGTACATAACTCAGGAAATCAAAACGATGCACCCACATACCCATTCATGCACTCACCCAATAACGTCCTCCAGCGCCGCTCTCTTCAACCCCCTCCCTCTTTCCAAGTCCTCCAAGGCAAGAGACGGGTCCCAGTGGCATCGCCCATGCACACGATCAATGCACCAATGCACTCACCCGATAGCTTCCTCGAGAGCAGTTCTCTTCTCTCCTCGTACTCTCTCCAAATCGTCCACTGCAAGAGATGGATCCACTGCCTTGCTCAGACGCGTCTGAATGAGGACTCGCTTGGCTGGGGGGAGGATCACGGGGGAGAAGCGTAGGAGGCAATGGGAAATGGTGGAGAGGGATGGGGAGAAGGCGGGCATTATTGCAGATGCGCACACAGATGATAAAGGGGAAATTAATTGATTCACTTCAAACCACACGACACCACACTGCTGGTGTTCCTAAGCTCACCAGACCACATCACACCGTGCTGCACCGCACTGAACCACTCACTATCCATCTCGTTGCTGTGCCTGTTAAGTTCGCTCCGTGCATGGTCCAGCCGCTGCTGCTGCACTGCTGCCTCATTGCCTGCCTCCTTGGCTTTCACATCTGCCTCCTCATACACCACTTGCTGCGCCCTGCACGCATACATTTAAATGGGGGTGGTAGGTCGGGAAGGGAGAGAGGGGTAAAAAGGGGAGGACGGGGGATTGGGAGGCACAGGGGCAGGGGGGGATAAGACCTTCAAAGTAAGTCTCTGTAAGTCTATTCACTACCATGCAAAGTATAGTGCATATACCCGAAACCCTAGACTGTAGCAGCACAAATCCCTACTGCTCCCCTTGCCCCCCGCACCTTTTCCCTGGTGCAACACACCCCCTCCACTTGCACCCCACGCCCCTCCCCTTACACCCCACACCCCTCCCGTTGCGCCCCACACCCCTCCCCTTGTGCCCCGCCCCAACCCTTGCACCCCACACCCCCTCCCCTTACATCCCACACCCCCCACCCTTTCCATTTACACACCTGATCGCCTTTTCAACCTCCCGAACCAGCTTGCTTGTGTCTGACGGCATCTCCCCGCCCAGCACCTCCTCTATCCGCCCCTTGTTCTCTGCCAGCCTGCCTTGCAGACAAAGGTGGGAAGAGTATGTAGAGGATGGAGGGCATTGGCAGATGAACAAGAAAAAAACAGAAAAACGAAGGTGAATTGAAGAAGACGTGAAGACGGGAGGGAGGTTGACACGGCAAGGGCAAGAACGGTGAGAGGAACAAGGGATTAGAAAAGACAGAACAGAGCAGAGCAAGGGGGTGGGTGGGGGGAGAGGGGGGTAGGAGAAGCAAGGGAACATGAGGGTGGGGAACAGAGAGCAAAAATCGCCAAACGATCCATCCAGACAACGTAATGCAGAACTCGGTATCACGAGCCAAATCACGCCAAGAACAACTCACAGCTTCTTCAGCTGAGCCTCCTTCTCCCTGACCGCCTCCTGCTTCAGCCTCAGCGTCACCCGCTCGCTGCTCTCTGCCGCCAGGCTGTCCTTCTCCCGCTGCAGAACCTTGAGCCGCTGCTCCTGCCGGCTCAGGTCTGCTTTCGCATCCTCCAGCTTGGACAGCAGCGTGGGATCTCGTAGCTTGGTCGCCAGCCTGTCCGCCTCTGCTTTCTGCACGGGATGGGAGTATTAGTGTGGCAACACGGTCACTGTGAGCTGACTAACAGGGAAAAGTTGCCGCTGCTCCTGCCGACTCAGGTCCGACTTGGCATGCTCCAGCTTGGAGAGGAAGCCTCCACCTGTCGGCTCAGATCACAAAGCTTGGTTGCCAGCCTGTCTCCCTCTGCTTTCTGCACGGGATGGGAGTAGTAGTGTGGCAACCCAAGTTTCACATCCAAGATGAAGCTCTAAGTCAACGTGCCGCACAAGAACGTGCCGCTGCTCTCCAGCGGACTAAGACGTGCACTGCTGCTCTCCATCGCTTCCTTCACCTGCTGCCGACTCGCCCCGTTGTTCCTCTGCCCATGGCAAGGTGACTTATGAGCGACTCAATATTCAGTTCGAAGTCGACTCAGAAGAGGACTCACCGTTTTTTTCTCTTCTCGCTCCAGCCGGGCCATCCCATCCTCGTCCACACTGCTGCTCTCCATGGCTTCCTTCACCTGCTGCCTCCTTGCCTCACTGCTGCTCTGCCCATTGCGCACACGTCACAACCAGCAAGGACAGCCACCATGTTGAATGTGTTACAACTTACAACAAGCACACAGAAAGCACAGGCATGAATAGCGATTTGCAAGCCTCGTGAGATGGACTGTAAAACAGAACCCAAGGATTTTTATCAGGTGTTCCCTAACTTGAGTCTGAATCCGCCTCTCCATTTCTCTTTCTCCCTCTCAGGCTCTCCTGCTCACCTTCCTCTCCTGTGCCATCTGCAGCTGCCCTTCCGCCTTCACAATCTCCCCCCCTGCAGCCTCAATCTCCGCCCCCCGCCGCCGCTCCTCCTCCTGCTGCCCGCGCTTCATCTCGTCCCACTGCTCCTGCAGCTTTGTCAGCCTGCTAGCTGCGCGCGAGCCCAGCTCCACCGCCTGATTGCTCGCCAGGGGCACGGGGCCTATGTCTCCCAAGTCGTGCTTGGTAAACAGCTCCTGCAGGCACCTGTCTCGCTCGTTGCAGTCCCGCTCGTGCACCTAGGCGGGGAGGGAGTGGAGGGGAGATGCGGGTTTTGCAACGGGTTTTGAGATATCTCAGTCCTTGGCCTGGTCACTGGCCAGTGGCACGTACCTGCTGAACAGCTGCTGCAGGCAATTGTCTCGCTCATTCCAGTTCCTCTCATGCAACTGAGAGTGAGTGATGCTCGGAAGATGGACAGTAACGCACCATACATCTCAGAAATTGGTACAGCAAACAGGCAAGCACGCACCTCTTTCTCCACTTGCAACCGGCTGACGAGCGGCTTGTCCCACTCGCTGCTAGTGAGACGAATTTGGCGGTACAACAAATGCACAACATCCAAGCAAGCAAGGCAGCACTGCAAGCGCGCACCTCTTTCTCCACTTGCAGCCGGCTGACGAGCTGCTTGTCGCGCTCGCTGCTCTCCCGCTCCACCTCCTGCTGAATTCTCAGCTCGCTGAGCGCCCGTGTGGTGCGCGCCAGGCTGCCCTCCAGCCTGGCCACCGCGCCCTCAAACTCCCGCCGCCACTCTCCAAGTTTCTCATCCGATTCTGCTTGGGGGGGGAAGGGGGGTGTTGCGGAATCCTCAGCTCGCTGAGCGCCCGTGTGGTGCGCGCCAGCTCGCTCTCTCTCCACTTTGGCCACCACACCCTCAAACTCCTGCTGCCACTTCTCTAGCTGCTCGTCTGACTCTGCTCAGGGACACAAGCAGGGGGGGTTGGGAGGGGGAGGGAGGGGGGGGCTGCTGAATCCTCAGCTCGCTCAGCGTCCGTGTGGTGCGCGCCAGGCTGCCCTCCAGCTTCGCCACCGCGCCCTCAAACTCTCGCCGCCGCTCCTCCAACTCCTCGTCTGAGTCTGATGGCGGGCCGATGGAGGGGGTTCGTTCCGGTTGACGCATGGAGTTTGATTTGGGCCGGCTCAAAGGTCAAATCTCCACCTTGGCCACCGCGCCCTCAAACTCTCGCTGCAGCTCCTTCAGTCAGGTGCTCGTCTGAGTCTGCTTGGGGGCAGAAAAGATGCAAGTGAGGGAGGGCATGACATCCACACACCCTTACCTGGACTGGCAGTTATGTGAGACTTGGCATGCTGTGTGAGCGTGGGCAGGTAGACCTTACGCGGGATTCTAGCATATCAAGAAATGGCCGTTACCAACTTACCATCATTGTCTGACACTATGTTGGCGCGCTGCTGCACCTTCTGCCGTGACAGCAGCTCCAGCCGCCCCTCCTGCGTCTGCAAATCCGCCTTCAGCTGTCTCAACCGCGCCAAACCGCTCTCCACCTCGCTCTGCCGCGCCCGTCGCTCCGCAATCTGCCCCTCCAGCCTCTCGATCTGCGCTGCCAGGCGCTCTGACTGGCCTGAGTCTGCCTTTATGCCCTCCTGAAGCTGCTTGCAGAGAATGAGGAGAGACGAGGAGACACCAAGAGATATGTGCAAGGAAGCGGACGGTTAAGAATAGACCCAGCCTGACTTAAAATCTCGATGGAATGTATGAATGGAGAAGTCAAGGGATGCATAGCCCCTAACGCTTAGGGACCTCTCGTGTGTGTGAAATAGCACGTACCCGCAAGGACGTGTCGAGTATGTTCCTGAGGTTCTCCGCCTTGAGCTTCATCTCCTTTATAAGCTGCGCCTGCTCCTTGTGTACCTTCTTCAGTGCCTCCAGCGCCTTAGTGTACCTGACACACAACACAGGAAGAAATCATCACACTTTTTGCTAAGCAGGGAAAACTTAGGAAGCATCTGCTTTGCTGCAGACCGGCTTTTGCAAGGTCAGCCACATCACCCAAAACCTACTTGGTGGCGGAGAAGATGTCGTCAAACTTCTTCTTGAGCAGCGCGGGCTCAGCAAGGGGCCAGTTGGCATCATCCTGGTGAACGAATATCACGTTCTCCAGCACCGCCTTGGGCACACCCATCAGCAGTGGGATCTCGCGATCCATGTCAGCGCACCGGTAGCTCAGCGAGACGCGCTGGATGGGGGGGAAGGGAAGGAGGGAAACGCAGGGTGTGGCTTGCATGTGAGTTGGCTCACTAGCCCATCAGCAGCGCGATCTCGCAGTCCATGTCCGCACAGCGGTAGCTCAACGAGACGCGCTGGGGGGAGGGGAACGGGAAAGGGGGAACGCTTGCATGTGAGTTGGCTCACTGGCCCATCAGCAGAGGTTCTCCGGATCCATGTCCGCACAGCGGTAGCTCAGAGAGACACGCTGACGGGGGAGGCGAGGGAAGGGAGGGAGGGGAGGGGGAGAGCAGGGTGTGGCTTGCATGTGAGTTGGCTCACTGGCCCTTCAGCAGTGGGATCTCCCAATCAGGGTCCGCACACGCCATCAATGGCCTTGAACTCCATCTTGTTGGCCTCTTTGTGTTTTCACCACACGCAACAAGCAGCCTCCCTGTACAAATTCCTGCTGCTGCCGCATACGCACCTCGCCCGTAGTACTGTTTATTGTCTGGAGCACGCTCTCAATGGCCTTGAACTCCATCTTGCTGGTCTTCTGTGTGAGCGAGAAGTTGCGTACGCTCACCACGTCCTTGCCTGCTGCTGTGCGGAACCGCAGCTTGATCTGCCCCTTGGTCTCAGTTATATGCGCGACCTGTCAGCACCAGCACGGGAACGCAAAAACAGAAGTGCGGGCATGAGCTTGTGTGTGCTCACCACGTCCTTGCCTGCCGCCGTGCGGAACCGCAGCGTGATCTGCCCCTTGGTCTCCGTTATATGCGCCACCTGCCAGCACCAGCACGGGAACATAGAAACAGAAGTGCGGGCATGAGCTTGTGCGTGCTCTGCTCTCCCCGTCCTTGCCTGCTGACGTGCAAAACCGCAGCTTGATCTGCCCCCACAGCTCCGTTATATGCGCCACCTGCCAGCAGCAAGAATCTCGCATCGCCATGGCCAATGACCTGGCGTGATGAGGCGTGTCGTCACCACCAGGACTGGCACATGGCTGCTGCATGAAGCCTTTCGGACCTTTGAGTGTAGCATGACCGAGTGTAGCATGAACGAGTGTAGCATGACCGAGTGTGGCATGACCGAGTGTGGCATGACCGAATGTAGCATGACTGAATGTAGCATGACTGAATGTAGCATGACTGAATGTAGCATGACTGAATGTAGCATGACCGAATGTAGCATGACCGAGTGTAGCATGACCGAGTGTGGCATGACCGAATGTAGCATGACTGAATGTAGCATGACCGAATGTAGCATGACTGAATGTAGCATGACCGAATGCAGCATGACTTAATTTAGCATGACCGAATGTAGCATGACTGAATGTAGCATGACAGAATGTAGCGTGACCGAATGTAGCATGACCGAATGCAGCATGACTTAATGTAGCATGACCGAATGTAGCATGACTGAATGTAGCATGACAGAATGTAGCGTGACCGAATGTAGCATGACCGAATGTAGCATGACTGAATGTAGCATGACCGAATGTAGCATGACTGAATGTAGGATGACGGAATGTAGCATGACTGAATGTAGCATGACCGAATGTAGCATGACCGAATGTAGCATGACAGGATGTAGCATGACTAAATGTAGCATGACCGAATCTAGCATGACTGAATGTAGCATGACTGAATGTAGCATGGCTGAATGTAGCATGACTGAATGTAGCATGACCGAATGTAGCATGACCGAATGTAGCATGACTGAATGTAGCATGACCGAATGTAGCATGACCGAATGTAGCATGACTGAATGTAGCATGACCGAATGTAGCATGACCGAATGTAGCATGACCGAATGTAGCATGACTGAATGTAGCATGACCGAATGTAGCATGACCGAATGTAGCATGACCGAATGTAGCATGACCGAATGTAGCATGACCGAATGTAGCAGGACTACACCTGCAGGAAATCAGCGAAAGCGTGAATGACAATCAGCTGCGATGTTAAATCATAAAAGTTCCCTGCTTCCATCCAGACAAACTGCCCACTGCAGCAACATGAGCCATGACCGACCTTGGGGTCGTGGATGAAAGAATGGCCGGATCGAGCGTTGGGAGGGAGCTCTCCCGTTGTTGCACATTTCAGGCACTCTATGATGGTCTGCACGGATCGGGAAGCGAGCAAATACACACAGCGCAAAGAATCGGATTCTGCACAATTGAAATGCAAACGAAGTCGCATGAAGAACAACGAAGGGCTGTCAGGAAAAAAAAAAAAAAGCAGCAGAGCTTGATCAGCTACAGCCTGAACCAGTAATATGTGAATTGACAAAGACGACGGTGCAAGATATGTTCAGCCAGTTATAATACGCGACTCCCTTACGGTTTTTCCGGCTCCGTTAGGACCGACGATGAGTGTGAGCGGCTTGAAGAATGTGATGACTGCTTGGTTCTCCGGACTGAAGCTCCGGATACCCTTGATCAGCATCTTATCAACGGTGCACATGGCTGCAAATACTAACGGCCTTCTGGCCAACCGCCTGCGAATGACAACTCGGAGTCATCATGAGTTCACACGGATTCACACGAATTCACGCGGATTCACGCGGATTCACGCGGATTCACGCGGATTCACGCGGATTCACACGGATTCACATGGATTCGGTGCGTGCTTTGAAGAAATCAGTCTGCGATTCAAAGGAATAGACAGGAACGAACACGAATACGATATAGGATCTTACAATATGCAAGGTTGTCGTCAACCGGTGCTGAGATTATAAACACTTCGTAAACTTCGATAATTCTGATAACGACCGTAGGAGCTGTTACTCGTCAATAGTGCTGCCAAATCTGAACGTTTGTGCCGACGTTATAGCAACTGCCGCGAAGCAGAGAGATAAGATTGCTGAAGCTGGTGTGTCGCTACTCTTCTGTGAATCACGTGTCAATCTTGAGATACTTGTAGGTCTAGAAGACAGACATACAACAGCGACAAACGTGGGAATGTGGCGATGTATTCTTGATGGTTTACAAGGTCATTCCGCGGAATCTTTAGTACCTCCCTAGCGAAACTCCGACCTAGTAGCTGATTCATGCTCTTGAAGTCTCGAGGTCATCGAGGGACAGAAACAGACGTACAAATTCGAGGTGTCGTATAGTAATGCATTCGATACAGGGTACAGTAAGCATCGTTATTTTCTTTCAGGTGTTTACCTTGTTTGCAAAGCTACCCAACTTTTCGTACTCTTTTGGGAATTGAAATGCAGGAATGGATGAATTCAAATCAATGCATGTGCGTACGCAGGCAAAACAATGCAGCGCAGTGTGATCATTCCAGCCAGAATGTCCCATAAGATTTCCCATGAAAGGTCGATTTTTTTGCTATCGATGACTGTCATACGTAGCGACGTCTAGTTAGTCTGCCGGCTCGTAGTGGCTGTCAATAGCATGTTAGTCTAGCTTGACTGGAGATTTTGATACCGCAGTCAGTGCTTGTATAGATTTTGTAATCACAATGTCAAATTGAACTGCAAACAGTTTCCAACAACATGTTATCATCAATCGACACAACACAGAAAGCACACACATGATATAGCAACACGCATGATATACCGCACACGTATTCAGCACACAGCTATTACATGCACCCTCCTCCTAGGCTGGTACATCTTGTCTGAAACTGCATATCAACAAGCGCTAAAACACATACTCTTTTGTTAATACAAATAGTGCCTCACATAACAAAAAAAGTGGAGTCCTTGGGCTATGAACTTCAGAGACACTCAAGCGATTTTATTCGAGTGCTGCATTCGTTGTGTGTCTATCCAACGCGAGAAGCTTTGATTAGGGGATGTTGGGTTGTTAGGGATGGGTTGCTATCACATGGGGTGGTAGGTTGTTGGGTCGCTATGACAGGGGTGTGTGTTGGCGGGTGCCTATGACAGGGGGATGTGTTGGTGGGTGGCAATGTTAGGGGGATTTTTTGGTGGGTGGGTATGGCAGGGGGAAGTGTTGGTCGGTGGCTATGACAGGGGGATGTGTTGGGGGTGGCTATGGCAGGCGAATGTGTTGGTGGGTGGGTATCACAAGGAAATGTGTTGGTGGGTAGCTATGACAGGGGGATGCGTTGGTGGGTGGCTATGACATGGGGATGTGTTGGTGGGTGGGTGGGTGGCTTTGACAAAGGGTGTGTGGGTTGTTGGGGATGGTTGGCTTCCACCATCCCAGGTGCTGGCTTTCGCCCTTCTATGACCTGTTTTTACTGTCTCTTACCCCCCAATTGGCTGCTGGTCGTCCCCTGCTCCATCGCCGGACCGCTGCTTTAAAGCTAATTGGTTTCGGCTCGCTCTCTTAGAATAGGAATGCAACGGAATGGGCGAAACTAGAAAGTGTGAGAGTACAAATATGAAACCCTAACAACTGTACTCCCTATTGTGCTACTCACTATAGCCTACAAGCATAGAATTACATTTAACACACCCCCATAGGCTAAGTGAGGGGCATCAAAGCAAGCAAGGTGAACAAACGGTCACAATACCAGTCAAATCAAGAAACAAGGCAAGCTCAGGGTGGATATCAAGGACACCACACAAATTCCGAGCGCAAGCTAGCGGCCACAAGGCCAGTTCAAGAGTTCACTAGGATATAAATAGGAAGCACAACAAGCAGAGCAAACAACAAGACTACAGCAACCGAGGGCCTACCTCAACAAGCCCCAATTGCACACAGAACCTGTGGTGATCACCAAGCGCCAAGGCCTTGGTGAAGACGTCTGTAGTGTTGGCCTCTGAGGCCACAAAGTCCAGGCGTGCCTGGCCGCGTCGCTGCAGCTCTCGTAGGAGGAAGTACCTCACGTCAATATGCTTCACTCTGCTCTCCAGTCGAGGCTCTCGACACAGGAGGATCATGGCCTTGTTGTCAGCGTACAAGGTCGGTGCAGAGCGAGGCCGCTCACCAAGGTCGGCGAGCAAGAAGGTCAACCAGCGAAGCTCCTGTGCCGCCATGGCACCAGCGTAGATCTCTGCCTCTGCACTGGAAGTAGCCACAGACGACGACCGTGTAGACCTCCACGACACAGCACCAGCTCCCAGACTGAAGCAGTAACCCTGAGTCGAGCGCTGAGTCTCCACGTCGTCAGCGTAGGAAGAGTCGCAGTGACCAGCCAACGCCACTGGCTGAGTCCCTCCAAGCACAAGCCCCATGCCTGATGTAGTCGCCAGGTACTTCGCCACCCTCACAGCAGCTGTCCAGTGGACAGGACGGTGTCTCCCAGTCGCAACAAAGCGAGAGAGGATGCTGAGGGGAAAGGCGAGGTCCGGCCGAGTACAAGTCATCAGGTACATGAGGCAGCCCACATGCTCTGCGTAGGGACCACTGGGCTCAAAGGGCTCGTCAGGAAAGGGGCCAGTGAGTCGGTGGTCAACAGCAAGAGGAGTGGGCTGTGTGGTGGAGAACTGGAAGTCGAACCGCCGAAGGACCTGCTGCACCATGTGTGACTGCGTCAGTGTGATGGTGCGAGCGGCTCTGTCCCTGGTGATCTACAGGCCAAGGTAGCGCTGCAGCTCACCCAGGTCAGTGCACTTGTGTCTCTTCTGCAGTTCGGACTTCACCTGTGCCAGGGCTGCCCTGTCTGCGGTAGCAAACACCAAGTCGTCGACGTAGACAAGGATAAAGAAAGGAGTAGAACCCGCTCGAACAAACAGCGACGGGTCGGCGGAGGACGGGCTGAACCCAAGGTCACGAAGCGTGGAGCGAAGAGTGTCGTGCCACTCACGGGGCGACTGGCGGAGACCGTAGACTGGTCGCCTCAGGCTCCACTGGGTCCCAGGTGGGAAGGTGTCAGTGAAGCCAGGAGGACGGCGCAGCCAGATCTCCTCGTGCAGTCCACCCTGGAGGAACGCAGTGGAGAAGTCGAGGGAGTGCAGCTCGTAGATTCGCTGCGCTGCTATGTGAGTAGCACCCGAAGAGTAGTCATCTTCGGGGTCGGGGCGAAGGTCTGGAAGAAGTCAACTCCCTCACGCTGACTGAAGCCCCTAGCCACGTAGCGCGCCTTGAACACCGGCGGTGCTCCAGGCGGCCGCTTCACCTTGAAGAGCCACATGCCATCGACTACGTTCGCCCTGGGAGGGGGAACTGCGTCGACGTAGGTGCCTGTGGATCTCCAAGACGCCAACTCTGAGTCCATAGCCGCTTTCCACTGAGAGGCCCACGCCCCTGACACTGCCTTGCGGTAAGTGCGAGGAGTCGGTATGTCAAGGGCGTCGGGGTCTCCCTCAGGGGAGAGCAGCATGGCACACACAGAAGGAGAAGCGGCTGCCCAGTACTCCAGCTCAGACTCTCTGTCCTCTAGGACGTCACAACCAAGGGCAAACCCACCCCCGACGGACAGAGGACGGGAGGGAGGAGCTGGCACCACACGGGTGGCATAGTCAAGGCGGCTGGCGGCAGCAAGCTCAGCGACAGCGGCAGTGAGAGCCGAGGCAGACGACGGAGGGAAACGAGAGTCGGTGACAAGAGTGGCGAGGACACGTGCGGCAACAGGACGAACAGCGCGGTAGTAGTCAGAGATAGGAGTGGGGAGGGCTGTGAGAGAGGACGGAGGAGGAGACGGGAGAACGGACACAGGAGAAGGAGAACGACAACGAGACGAACAAAGGAGGGCAGTGTGGAGGTCAGTAACAGGGGACGAGTGACGAGCACGCGGAGGACAACGGGTGATCAAGTCGCGACGGACAGAAGGAGGAGGAGACTGAGGAGGAGGAGAAGACCAGACCGCCGGACGGTCGTCAGGAGGAGGCAACGGAGGAACAAACACAGGAAGAGACTGGGAGCGGACATGAGGAGAGGAGGAAAGGCCAAGGGCCCGCAGGCCACTCACAGGTGGGAACAACTGCCGCTCCAGAGGAAGCTGCGGAGGCGGCTGTGGCTGCCGCTGCTGCTGCTGCTGCTGCAGCTGCGGCGGCGGCTGCGGCTGCTGCTGCTGCTGCGGCTGCTGCTGCTGCTGCTGCTGCTGCTGCTGCTGCTGCTGCTGCTGCCGCTGCTGCTCCAGAAGGTCCAACACCCGCAGCTCATGCCGCTCCCTCTCCAACCGCTCCTGCTCCTCACGCTCACGCCGACGGGCAGCCTGGAGACGCGTGTCGTGGCGGTGGGGAGGCGGAGTGGACTCCGCAGAACCAGGGTCTCCAGCTCCAGTCTCCTCAGACTCAGCACCCCCAGAACCAACACCTCCAGTGTTAGGACCCCCAACTCCAGGACCCCCAGAACTAGCACCTCCAGTGCTAGCACCTCCAACTCCAGCACCCCCAGCTCCAGCACCCCCAGAGCTAGCGCCACCTGCACCAGCCCCTCTAGCTCCAGCACCCCGCAAACGAGCACCCCCAGACCGCGCACCGCCAGCGGCTGCACCTCCAGCTCCAACACCAACCAAGTCCACAGGAACCTGTCGCGGAAGTGCCGAAGGCTGCTGAGGGGACTGTGAGGAGGACTGCG